GGTGACTTTAGTCGAGGAGCCAATTCGCTATTCTATACCGAATTCCATTCGGTAGTGGAGGTTTGGTTCGTTAGGGCCTCAATCTGTTTACTCCGGTGGAGGTTAGTCGCCCGCTAGAGACTCAGATTGAGAGGGTCTGAAGACCTTTAGTCGAGACTTCAGGCTATTTAAGAACCTTCCGCAGTATAACTTTCATAAAAACTGAACTTGGTAAATTGCAATCCGACTTAACTGCAGTCTAGGGGGAACCATATCCGGGTGACCTCTCTTGACTTGAACAACCGTTAAACTTGCTTTGTGTTTTTGTTTGTTTGAATTTGCACTAAAAGTTCACTGCTAGATAACGAGATTTCACCGAGTAGTCATCACATCTAGGACCCGGGTTGACAATAAAACCCAAACCCGCTATACTACGCTTTAGGAAGTGGTTACACTTGGCCATTTTCTAGAGTGACAGTAGGAGTGAGTCAGTGTCCATATGCTGCAGGAGCGCCTGCTGGTTTCTCTGGCCAGCTTCAATCTCCATGAATTTCCTGCAGCCACTTCCATGAATTGCTCCAATTTATTGAACTTTTAGGTGCTAGTGCTGGCCAAGGTAGTCACTAGATCCCTCAGTTCTGACACGGGATCGCCCGGTGCTGGGATTGATGGAGATGCACCAGGCTGTTGGTACGGTTGCTGTGGGGGCTGTTGAAAAGCCTGCCCTTGTCTATGCTGATAAAGTGGTTGTTGTTGCTGCATCTGGTCCGGGCGAGGCTGGTATGGCTGCTTCTGGTTCGGAAAACTAGCTGCAGGAGCTTGAAAACCAAGTAGCTTCGGATTGCTGTTGCCACTCTAGGAGAAATTTGGATGCTGGCGCCATCCCTCATTGTAAGTGTTACTGTATGGGTCGTTGCGACGGACATTGTTGATGAAGTTCACCTACTCCTGGGGTGTACTAGACTCACGCATGGCTTGGAAGTCCTGTACAGTATGATGGGCACTCTCGCACCACTGGCAACGCATTGCCGGCTGCTGCCCTGTCCTTGGAACCATCCCATTTCGATCGATAGCTGAGACCAGTTTAGACACAACCTGCACCAAATCAGAAGAGTGGGTGCCCACAGCATGTACACCTCGGCTTGGTGCTCGCCTCGACCTCCTAGCAGTGCCCCAATCATACCCTTTCTCTGCCATCTCCTCAAAGAGCTGATTCAACTGCGGCGGCGTCTTGGTCAGCATGTTCCCGCCACAAACCGAATCAATCAGCTGCTTGTCTTCTGGGAAGAGGGCATGGTAGAAGGTGCCCGCCTTGAAAGCATCATTGAAACCATGATTGGGACACCTCAGGAAGAGACTGGTGTATCTCTCCCATGCGTCCCGGCTGGTCTCATCTTCATCCTGGGCAAAGTGGGTGATCTGCTTCTGCAAGTCCGCCGTTCTTGACGGAGGATGATAGCGGGTGAGGAACTTGTCCGCCAGGTTGGCAAACGTGGTGATCGATCCGGGAGGCCTAGTGTCCAGCCACTCCTTGGCTTGCCCCTCCAGAGTAAATGGGAAGTACCTTAGCTGGATGGCATCGGCTGGGACCCTATTTATCTTGATCCCATCTATGAGCTCGTGGAATCGCCTCAGGTGTGATCGGGGGCACTCCCCCTCCTTGCCACGGAATATCACCGAGCCGCGCAGCATGGTGATGACATAGGTGCTCACCTCAAAGTTATTTGCTGGAACTTGAGGGTGTTGGATGGGCGACCTCATGTCCGCGGCTCTAGCGGTCCAGTAGTACCTCATGGTCTGCTCCTCGGGAAAGACCACATTGTTGTTCTGTGGTTCACCCATTTCGTCCTCCTCGTTGATTTGCAGCTGTGCTAAGGCCTCCTCCGCAGCCAGTCGCGCCTTTAGAGCCCGCTTGAAATTCCTACAGGTCCGTTCAAGCTCTTGGTCTAATGGCAGTAAATCTCCTGACTGGCTACGGGTCATGCACTACCTGCACACAATCAGCAAAAGAAACCCGTGAAGGCACACAGGTGGAAGAGAAAAAATGCAGTAAAGAAAAAACTAGAGTAACAAACTTTCATGTTTCCCCAATAACCTAGAGGTTCCCCAGCAACGGCGCCAAAAACTTGACACGCTAAAACGCAACACCAAACTGAGACCAAGTGTAGTCGCAGTCCGGAAATGCAGTAACAGGCAAGCTCTAATTGTCAACCCGGGGTCTAGATCTACTGCCTACTCCGTGTATATCTGTTATCTAGCAAACTAAGTTGATTGATTGTGGTTTTAACTAAAAGCAGTAAGAAAGCAGGAAATGGTTCGGTTTTCTAAAGCAAAGGAGGAGTCACTCGGGAATGAGTCCCCCTAGCTCCTTAGTTAGGTCTCAGTTGTAATTACCCTGGGTTGATTTACTGTTGATTTAACTACGGAAGATCCGACAGTAGTTTGGAATCTCTTAAGTTGACCAAGCCCTCTCAGGCAGGCTAACCGGCAGGCGACTAGCCTTCACCGGGATAGACTGCTGAGGCAGCCAATAAACAAAGAAATCCACTACTGGAATTGGGTTCCAGTACAAAGGAGTAGATTGACTAACTCTCGTATAATCAATCTACTACTACCGAATGATGAAGCTCTAACAACCTAATCAGATTCTATCTATCTCAAGTTGCAGCGGAAATCAAGAAAAGATGATCAGACTTCAATTGATTCAATGAATCATGCATCATTCAATTAAAATCAAATAGTATAACAATCCCAAGTCATTACAATGAAGATCCCTAACACATGGAACTAGGGTTCTTCATACCCAAGTGAGAGAAGGTTCTACTCCATAGAGAGTGAGAGGGAAACAGAATACAAAGCAGTCATACTCATAACTATGGGAAGAATCTTCTCCGGGATGATGATCTTCACTCTAAGGATGATTTCCAAGCTTGATTGATGAAACCTAGCTCCAAAAACCACTCTTAGGGGGTGTTCTTCGCACTTTCTCTCTCTAGGGCTCTATTTTTGCTCTAAAACGTCGATTCCCTTTCAAAAGACTCGAAATTGGGTTAAAACCCAGTTCTACCCGATCACACGGCCAGGCCACACGGCCGTGTGAAATCCCCAGCTGCCCGTGTTGAAGTGCAAAACGTCGCGTTTCACTTAAGTGTCTTCAGTTACGCTACACGGCCAAAACCACACAGCCGTGTGGAATTTTAGGCGTGCCCGTGTGAGCTCCTTGGACTTTCCACACGGCCACAAGGGGTCCCATACACGGCTAGTGCGATTTGCCCGTGCAAAGTGGTGCCACACGGCCAGTCACACGACCGTGTGGAATTTTAGGCGTGCCCGTGTGGAATTTCCAGCTTTTCGTCAAACGTCCCAACTTCGTCCAATCGACCCCGAACTCGTGCCTAAACCTTCCTTCACGTACTAGGACCTGAAATATCACAAACAAGAACAACCTAGCGTGAAATCGGCCTTAAACACGAGAAATGAGACTCAAACGGTATAGGAATAATGGACAAAAACATGTGTAAATGTCGAGTCATCAGAAGCGCCAAGCTTATGATAGGGAGATTTAAGGTAGGAGAAAGCCAAATGATAAGCATATTTCACCGAGAAGATCCTTGAAGATTCATAGTGCCAAATTAACCGATGATGCACTGACCGAACAGGTAAAGGAATGGAGCGAATGGAAGCAACAGAAGAAGGAGAAAATAAATGCTCAAGAGCTCGGATGTTCCAAGAGTGCGTCCTAGGATCAATGAGAGGAGAAACAAAAATAGGAGAAGGAGTACTTCCTTGCTTCGGACTTGGAATAGATGGAGGAGAAGAATGCAGCCAAGGCATAGAGAACGCCTTGATTGAATCCCCAACCCCAGTTTGCCATCTCATCCCTCTCACCAAAAGGTACCTTCCAAAATGAATGTCAAGCCAACCCCAGGAGGCATTTCCCCTTGACGAAATCGATAAAAAATTTGCACCAAAAGAATATCAAGTTCGATAAATCCTTGCAAGAAGAGAAGTTGGTTCCTGAATGATTCGCCAAGCCACTTTAGCAAGAAGCGATTGATTGAAACACCCAAAATCTCTAAACCCAAGACCCCCTTCAAATTTACTAGCACATAACCCTTTCCAAGCCCGCCAATGAATGAGACTTTGTGTCTGCGTAGCCCCCCACCAGAATCTTGCCATATGAGCATTTAACCTGCGAATAAGTTCAGATGGAAGGCGAAAATATGACATCACATAAATCGGTAACGCCGAGGCTATTGTTTTAAGAACTTCTTTTCCCACTGCGGATAAAGCCCGCTGTTTCCACCCTTGAAGAACTTCTAACAATTTCTCCTCAACGAACCGAAAATATCAACCTTGGATTGACCCATAAGAGATAGTAACCCAAGATATTTATCTTACAAACCAAACGAACCCACCCCCAACACAAAACTTAGCTCCTCTTGATCCGGTTGAAGAAGGTTAGGACTGAAATACGCTGCAGATTTATGAAGATTTACTCGTTGCCCACTCAAATATTCATAGTAATGAAGTAGCTGAAGCAAAGCAACGTTGTCCCTCCTAGAAGCCCTTAAAAAAATAGGAATCATCTGCGAACAAGAGATGAGAAATGGGAGGGCATGAATGAAGGATCTTGATCCCAAAAACAAATAAAAACCACTCAAAGATTAATTAGTAATTATTGTTAGCAGGCTTTCAGTGGCTGATTTGAGGCCGACGATGGGACAAAAGTCCAACATCAACTGCCCGCGTAAACTAATAATACTTTTCAGTGTTATTAAAACCGAACCGAGCCATTTGGTTCGACCGGTAAAACCAGCACCTGGCCTCCAAGCCGTCTCGGTACAGTCAATAAGCCGAAGCGGTTTTTCGGAGCGGCTGGCGAGCGGCCGAGACGGTTAACCATTCGGGCAGCTCGCCCGATTTTTGCTTTCTAGCCGCCCACTGAAAAAATAAAATAAAAAAGTGATGGGAGGCGAGGCGATTGCCGAGGCTCGGATCTGAAAGCGGTGGTGAGTGGGATGGAGGAAGGCGATATTTGGGATGACGAAGCGGCAGTGGCGGCGGAGTTGCTGTGCCGCTTCCTGTCGGAGATTCGTCAAAGGGAGACGGTGAGGTTGGGGTGGTGGCACCATGGCGGGAGTGTGGTAGGTTTTTTGTGGAGAAGAATTGCAGAACGAAGAATGAAAGAGGAGAACGGGAGTTTGAGTCTTGTGAGAGACAGGGGGTGACAAACATTGAGGGGGTGATTGCGGAAGGTCTGCGGCGCTACTGCTTTGGGTGGGGTGGGGTTAGGGTCAGTGGCGGAGGCAGGATTAGGAACTACCCTGTCCTTTTTTCAAAATATAAAAACATAAATAACTAAAATTAATAATATCCAAATAATTCATTAATAGATAAAGAAATAAGCGATTAATACAATTATTTTTTGCATAAACAACCACGACGAGTTTTCATATTATGAAAGAATTACAAAATACATTAACTGTTTACACTCTTTAGTGAGCCTCTTTTGATATTCCCACTAAACAATCATTGACAATCTTTTCATCAATTCGACTTCGAAACTTGTTCTTAATATATCAATCTAAAAATGCTCTTTGTACGTTCGGAGTTGCAACTGGTAGTATCAAAACTAATTTCAGAAGCAAATAAACTGACTAATATAACTTATGCACTTTTGTCTCCACCATGATCTGAGATAATTTATCAATTTCATTCAATCCAACACCAACAAAACTCTCATTAGCCATAAAATAATTATAATACCCAACAATCTGTTGTCGAATAATAGTGTCATGAATGTAACCAATAAACTAATTATTTTTTGACAATTAATGAACAAGTAATGTAGTGGCAACATATCCTTATATTACTTGTAGGTGTTGAGTTTATTTTTCGTTCAAACATATATAGGATTATTTTTTTTCCTCCCAAAATTTGCCTCTCTCCTAGGACAAGGGCAAACTGCCCTCTCTCCGCCTATGGTTAGGGTTTTTATGTTATATATAAAAAATGTAATATTATTAAATGGTACTTGGTAAATTTTATTTTAGTCCTTATATTGTTAGATTACTATCTTATTTATCTTTTATTTATAGGTTATATTTTTGGTGCACTCACTTTTTTGGTGCATTCAATGCACCCGCCTCATAATCGTCATTCTGAGCAGGCGATTCATGTGAAAACGATGTCAATCATCACTTGTGGTATGATGAACAAGAACCACGTGAATTTGTACAAAAATCATTCAAGATTCACTTTAATTTGAATGATTTAGGGTTTAGGAATTTAAGGTTAGGGTTAGGGTTTACAGTTTGGGATTTTGGGTTGGGATTCAAAATTGAAGGTTAATAAGTTACGGTAATGGACTGGTTAGTTGTGATTTTGTGTTATATCATCATACTAGATTAATGCTACCCATTAAAGTTCAAAATTTGATATATTATGACCATTTTTAGAATTGGGTGCATTGAATGCACCCAAAAAAGTGAGTGCGCCGAAGTAGCCACCTTTATTTATATTATTATTGTTTATAGAATATCGGTTCTCAATAATTTTTAAACAGTCTAATATCGGTTGAACTGCCTAAAATGCGAGTCGTTCAGATTACCGAATCATACTCTAGTTTGTTTTTGACAACATTGATAATTTTACTCGGTTGGCATCTGGTCCGGTGCACAAATTTCAACTACAACGCGTCCCAACTGATTAGTTCACCCGAGAGAGCCATACAACACCCGCCAAATAGAGAACGGACTTTTCATGCGAAACCAACCCCCTTGATCAGCGTCCGGCGGCAGATTACCTCGGCGGCGTCCAAATGCCGGTGGCACGACCCGAATCGTCCCATCCAAGAATCATAGCCCACGTCGACATGGATTGCTTCTACGTCCAAGGTTTTCACTTCTCTCTACCATTTTCTCTTTTTTCTTTCGCTGCCAAACCGAGAACGGAACTTCGCAATTCATGGCGGAATCAATCATGAAATTTAGGAATTCCCACTGTTGGATTTCGTACATCTCTACATATGTTGCAAAATTGACTTTGGTCGGGTTCCATTTCTTCTGCCGTCGTAGTGGAGCAGAGGAAGAAACCAGAGTTGAGAGGTTTACCTAGCGCGGTGGTGCAGTACAACGAGTGGAAAGGCGGGGGGTTGATTGCGGTTAGCTACGAGGCCCGTGGATTTGGAGTGAAGCGGTTCGTGGTGTTGGTTCTTTGAGGTGTTTCTTGCGTCGGGTTTGGTTAATTTTTGGTTTTTTTAAAATGCTTACTTTAGCTCCATGCGAGGTGATGAAGCGAAGCAAGTTTGTCCGCAAATTCACCTGGTTCAAGTCCCTGTAGCTCGTGGCAAGGCAGACCTGAGTACCTACCGCAATGCAGGTTCGGAGGTATGTGAGATCAAGTTCTGGTTCGAGGGGATACTCTGTTGATTAATGGTGCATGTGAAGATGTTAAAAAGTTTTAACATTTTATGCTCACGCTAGCGTTTGAATTGTGATAATAGGTGGTTTCAATTCTTGCGAGGAAGGGCCGATGTGAGAGGGCTTCGATTGATGAAGTTTACCTTGATCTTACTGATGCTGCGGAAGCTATGTTGAGGGAAAACCCTCCTGAGAGTTTGGAAGCTGTACATGAGGAAGTTCTCAAGTCACATGTTCTGGGGCTTGCAAATGAGGTGCTAACACTGTATATTATAGAATACAAAGACCAACTTTATTGAACTAACAATTGTGGGAATGGAAAAATAATCTCATTTCGTATTGTTACCGGTCAGCAGTCTATGTAAAATGAAAATGACACTGTGGTTATAGGAAATGTATATTCAGAATGTCTGTTTTCTTTCATTTCTCCTGCTTTTCCTTTTAATATTGAAGTTCATGTGGAAATTGGCACTAAGTTCAGGATGAAATCGACAAGAAAGAAAATGTGAAGAGATGGATGTGTAATAGTGATGCTGATCACCGTGATAAATTGTTGGCCTGTGGAGCTATTATTACTGCTGAACTTAGAATGCAAGTCCTAATGGAGACAGAGTTCACTTGTTCTGCTGGCGTTGCTCATAATAAGGTAGAAATCCTATCAAACTTCATTTTATTTCTATCATTTCTGCATTATCATGTGTTTCCAAAGCGCACACAGGTTAAATCCTCTTTGAGTTGAATTTGAACCTCCATGTGTTTTGTGTTACTAGATGCTGGCAAAACTTGCAAGTGCTATGAACAAACCTGCACAACAGACTGTTGTGCCCTCCTCGTCAGTAAATGGGTTGCTCTATTCTTTTCCAATAAAGAAGATGTACGGGTTTTCTCTTTTTCTAAACAAAGCACACAAATCACTTCTATTTATAGGCTCCGCTTTCCTTTCGTACTCTGTTGAACATGAGAATTTATTTGATTACAGGAAACAACTAGGTGGAAAGCTTGGGACTTCATTACAAGGTGATCTAGGAGTGAACACCGTTGGAGATCTGTTGCAGTTTTCTGAAGAGAAACTACAAGATCTCTATGGTGTAAAGACTGGGTACCATTTTTCATTAATTTTTTCTTTCATTTCTTGTATGCTTTATGGGATAATTGCATTTATCGTTCTTGGACTACTTGGTGATACTTGAAAGTTGTTAAACTCAACTCAAATGTCAGTGCTAGCCTAGATCCACAACTTGTGGCGCTGATGATGAATATGTGGAGAGAGACTGCCCTTTTTCGTGATTTCATTTCTGCAATTTGTATTGAATGTGGCACTCTTTCAGTGATCTGATTATGTGAATTCTTAATTACCTAGATTGACAACTAAGATCTTTTTTCATAGCTCTCAAACAGTTTCCATCATGGCATATTCTAATGAATACATTTTCAATATTGGACTCCAGTACTTGGTTATGGAACATTGCCAGAGGAATCAGTGGGGAAGAAGTTCAGGGGCGCCTTCTTCCCAAGAGCCATGGATCTGGAAAGTCATTTCCTGGTCCCCGGGCTTTAAAGACAGCTGCTACAGTAAGAATTCGATTGATCTCACAGATTAGAAGGACTATGTGACTTACTTTTTCTGGATAAGCTTGCATTTTTGGTACTGTTGATGTACTTCAGTTGGTTGTCTCAGGTTCAACACTGGCTCAACCAACTTTGTGATGAGCTTAGTGAACGTATTTGCCGTGATCTGGAAGAAAATAAACGGACAGCACATACCCTAACTCTTCATGCTACAGCTTATGGGGTAACTTTGTTCTTTCTGCCTGGTTCCTACTCTTTTTTATTTTAATTCTATGAATTATCCAACTTTTTGATGGATTCTTCTTCACAGCAAACATTTATTTTATTTTTGGCCCTTCACTATGTTGGGCTCTTCTAGATTTGTTAGTTAAACTGAAGGTCTTTTGTCCTTTTTGTGCTTTTCTGCAGCCAAGCGAGAGAGATTCACATAAGAAATTTCCATCCAAATCTTGTCCATTAAGGTATGGAACTGGCAAGATTCAAGAGGATGCATTTAACCTATTTCAAGCTGGATTACGTGAATACTTGGGCTCTTACGGAGCCAAAACTCAAGGAAGTCAGCATCCTGAAAGATGGGCAATAACAGGTCTCTCTGTTTCAGCAAGCAAAATTATGGCCATACCTTCTGTAAGTTGGTCATTCTCTTCACGGTTGCTGCTTTCCATGGTGAAGATAAGAAAATTTAACGACATCAACCACTGTGTAAATTATGGAAGCAACTCATCAGAGTTTCTCTATGGATTTGGTAGGGAACGTGCTCCATCATGAAATACTTTGGTGGCGAGCAAAGATGTGATGCTCCTGCCAGGCAAGTGGAGGCTAACTTCATCCAGGAAGCTGTTCCATCGTCACCCTCAGGTTACCTTCCTTTGTTCTAGCAGTTGATGTCTTTTTTCTTTTTACTTCTTCTTTTTCTTGTGGAACTTGTTTCATATCTCGCTCAAACTGATGAAGCACTGCATGTTATTCAGACAGCAAAAATTGTACAGAACTGGAATGTTGCGAGAGGCAAGTGGAGCTTACCGACAATTATTCAGATTATATAGAAGACAATAAAGTACCCATGGAAGAAGATAAGGTCAGTAACTTAATTGGAATTATCGCCTATGCTAATTAACATAAAGCATATATCCTAGATACTTGATATTGAAGTTCAGGTCTTATGCGGGCATAATTAGAGGTTCTTCTATCATTTGCAGAATTTGTCTTTGTTGGGCCACGAAGAGGATAGCTCAACTAAGGAAGCTTCCCAACCACACTTCCCGAGTGAAAGTTGCTCGGGGAAAACTAAAGTTAGTGCACAGGAGCTCCCTAGTGAAGATGTTAGACATCAGTCGAGCACAGTACGTTCAAAACGGAAAGAGCAGAAAAGTAGTGCTTTGAAAGACCAGGTAGCATGCCTCAACTTCTAATAACCTCTTGGAAGATCCTTTTTGTTGATTTAACGTTCTGGAAACAAGAAAATGATGTGAACTGATTAGTGTCAACCTTGCAAACTTCCCGAGCATTGTTATCGAAAGCGGAGGATCACTAGCTGTCTTCGATTGTGGCAGGGGACAATCTTGAGGTTTTTTAAGAGCAATGATCAAGCTCAGGACCCGACGCGGTCTCAGGGTGACGGTAGTAACAGTTGTAATGCCAATCAAAATGGAGGAGGAAGGGCAGCATGGAGCTACAAGGTTGATGAGATTGACGAATCAGTGATTGCAGAGTTGCCAGAAGAGATCCAAGCTGAGTTGGAGTCTTGGATCCGGCCCCAAAAACGAGCAAATACAGTTAAACGAGGGGGTGCTACCACTATTGCACATTATTTCTCAGCAAACCAGAAGTAGTATACACCAATTAGAAAAGAAAGTTTGTATACTCTGTGCATGTGTGTAGTAATTTAATTGACAAAATAGTTTAGCGCCTCAAGTTTTCCGTTGGAGATACTTGAGCACTTCTACTACGTTCAGTTGTCGGTAACCGTATGATAAACAATGGAAAGAATCGTGATCCTTTATAGCAAGCTGTACTATTCCTGACGTACAATCCACAAACTGACAAGCTCACAGTTCAGAAGATGCTGAAGTTTCCAAGTTCCCAGTTCTTTGTTTTGCAGCGACTTTGTTACACTACCATCCAAAACCACAGCAACTGGTGTAACAACTTGCCACTCACAGAAGATCCCGTCTCCTACACAACCCTCCCATCATCGAACGGGACCCACTTCTGCTCAGTTTATATCAGTGGAGCAAAGCCAACCAAAGGAAGAAAAGAAGAAAACTCTGTCCAATTAGCCACACACAAAAAGGCAGCAGCTAACAAATGGATGCTGCTACCCAAGAACACGGTAATGCAGAACTCCAGGAAAGAAGATATTGGAGATTCAACAAACATGATTTCTTTCCTGAAGAGTCCTTCAGCAACTGGACCAGCTACCGGGCGGCCTTGTCACAGACATGTCACCGGTTCAAGGACCGTCTTGTGTCCCGGTCCGATGATGCCAATGAGGTGGAAGTTCTCAGGAAGCAGAGCGAGAACGAGATGAAACGCTGCCTCACCTGGTGGGATCTCACCTGGTTTGGGTTCGGTTCGGTCATCGGAGCTGGCATTTTCGTGCTGACTGGACAGGAAGCTCACGACCATGCTGGACCTGCCATCGTCTTGTCCTACGTGGCTTCTGGAGTCTCGGCCATGCTATCTGTCTTCTGCTACACGGAATTTGCAGTAGAGATCCCTGTCGCAGGCGGTTCATTTGCTTACTTGAGAATCGAGCTGGGAGACTTCGCTGCATTCATCACCGCGGGCAACATACTGCTGGAGAGTGTGGTGGGGACTGCAGCGGTGGCCAGAGCATGGACTTCATATCTCGCCACTCTTCTCAATCGTCCTTCCAACTCCCTCCGCATTCATACCAATCTAACCAAAGGTCATATAGCTAATGCCAAACTTTCAAACGTATGTTACCTTGAATATGACTCTATATCCTATGCATATTGTAATCTGCAACTTACACGAACAAGATTTTGCAAATCACGCAGGTTTCAATCTCCTGGACCCAATTGCGGTCGTAGTTCTGGCTTTGGCTTCCACCATCGCGATGATCAGCACGAGGAAAACTTCATTACTCAACTGGATAGCAACCGGATTGAACACCGCAATTATTTTGTTCGTAATCATTGCAGGTTTCGCCCATGCTCGAACATCCAATCTGACCCCATTTCTGCCTTACGGCGTCAAAGGTGTCTTCCAAGCAGCTGCAATTGTTTACTTTGCCTATGGAGGATTCGATAACATAGCCACCATGGCAGAAGAAACGAAAAACCCCTCCAGAGACATACCACTAGGGCTTCTTGGATCCATGTCGATCATAACTGTGATATACTGCTTGATGGCACTTTCCCTAAGCATGATGCAGAGGTACACAGAGATCGACACTGAAGCAGCTTATTCTGTAGCTTTCCAGAGTGTAGGAATGCACTGGGCGAAATACCTTGTAGCACTTGGTGCCCTTAAAGGGATGACAACTGTTCTCCTTGTAGGGGCTCTAGGTCAAGCAAGATACACCACTCATATCGCAAGAGCACACATGATTCCTCCATGGTTTGCTCTCGTTCATCCGAAGACCGGTACACCGATAAATGCTACGCTTCTGGTCACAATTTCAGGGGCCTTTATTGCCTTCTTCTCGAGCCTGGATGTCTTGGCTAGCTTGTTATCGGTAAGCACATTGTTTATCTTCATGATGATGGCTGTCGCTTTGCTTGTGAGGAGATACTACGTTAGAGAAGTCACCCCGAAGGAAAACCTCCTGAAGTTGGTCATTTTTCTCCTGGTTATTATTGCTTCCTCCATGGGGACTGCTGCTTACTGGGGCCTGAAGCCTGATGGTTGGTATGGTTATGCTGTGACTGTTCCTCTTTGGTTCTTTGGGACTCTGGGTTTATCCCTACTTTTGCCTCAGAAAAGAAAGCCAAAAGTTTGGGGGGTACCACTGGTTCCATGGCTTCCATCCTTGTCGATAGCAACAAATATCTTTCTCATGGGATCTTTAGGGGCTGAGGCTTTTGTAAGATTCGGAATCTGCACCGTTGTAATGCTGCTTTACTATGTTTTCATTGGTCTTCATGCGACTTACGACATGGCACATATGGAAAAGAAGCTTCAAGATCCAGCACACGACCAATGCTTGTAAAACTTCAGGGGAAAGAACTCTGCATTTGTAAGGATATATCAATATCATCGATCTCCTTGGTCGAAAGAGAGCAATTGATTACTACTTGTAACAACTAATACTGTGTCAATGTGGCAGCACACACAAACTAGAAAAAGGAATGAGACCATATGATATGTTAAGTTTCTGTATGCCAACCTTAAACTGGTCCTGCATAAGGCAAAACATCATTGTTATTCAGTATCAGTAAGAAAATGAAACAGATCCTAAGCTTTTTCTCTTTGCTCAATCTACTTCTTCGCTCAGTTCCCATTCCGAGCACATGAAAAAGAGATATGATCAATGCCTACACAAACAAAATACAGGCAAAGCACACAGCTTCATCGTAGAATTCAAAGCAAAAATACAAAGACCAATTAGCCTTACTAACTTGTTCCATGTATCAACAAAGAGGAAAATATTTATACAAAATTCCTGGCAGCCTCATATCTCGAAAAGACAATTAAGAAACTAATGCATATTTACAATACAATGATAGGCTCATGACAGAGAGATTTCATAACATACACCATTCTAGTTCATTCTCACTGAGTTCTTTTGCTTGATGCATAACATTAGAGAGTTCGCATAACCACAAACCAGAATTCAATGAAGTATAGCAACAACACGTGCAAAGGTCCGAGGATAGAAAAAAATATTAGCATGCTCACCAATATTCACGAGAAGGCATCCCAGGCCATGTTTATCATAATCTTCATTATGAACTATTTTTAAACTTCCATTTAAACCATGAGATCTGCAGAAGTATGGCCCACTACGAGGCAGAGGGATTTTCCAATGCAGAATTGGAAAGAAAGCTGCAACCTGCCAACCTCTCTCAGCTGTTCTATCGTCTGCATGGATTCTGATGTCATTTGATTGCCTGAGGATTTTAAGGATCCATGTGGCTGTTAGCCTTGTTACCCAACTACATTGTTCTGGGCTTCTGGCACCTTTCAATCACTACCTGTACTTTCTTTGGTTTGCATAATTCCTGAACAACTATGCTCCAGGTAGAGGCATTTGGCAACTAAAACTTTTGCAGCATGGCTTCCAGAATTTTGGAAGCACCTAACACTCTTTGTCACTTAGATAACTGAAGCTCAAGCTCATCCAAGAACTCGGTTCCACCTTGAGGTGGATCTGTCTTCTCTACCAAAGCTCTCAAGACAATGCTGCATGTGACAAAGTCTGGATCACACCACTTCTTGCATACCCCATTAATCAACAAATAGAAAGTGAGAGGATTAGGAAAACAACCCTCAGCTGGCATCTCATATCATAGAGAAACCGCTTCATCAGTCCTATCTTCCTTGCAAATTCCATCCATCAGTGTGCAATAAGTGTACACATCTGGTTCACATTGCCTAATCCCCATACCTTACACACCTCGAAAGCCTTGTTAACCAGACCAAGCTTACACATAGCCTTGATGATCAAATTGGAATGCAACACATTAGGCGAGATGTTAGACATTTTTTGCACCAGAGCCTAACAGAAAATACCCGCTTGGATAACAACATTCAGAACATTGTTAAACGACTTCACAGTGCGCTTACACTGAAATTCTTCCTCAATCCTATCAAACAGCTCCAGAGCTTTTCCAGGTAAACCAGCTAATCCCGTAGGGCTTAATCACAAGAATGAAACTTCTCCCAAGAAACATTCTGTTTTCCCGCTTCATTCGACCCATAACCTCCTCCAATGACTCGAAATCGCAAGAATCAGCGTAGGTCGCAATGAGCGAATAGAAAAAGGAATCGCCCAACTGGTAGGAACCCATCCATCCTGGCGGGGAACTTGAATATCGTATCATGAATCGGAAGTGTGG